CTGGCATGGCCACTATATTTTAGGCAGGAGACCTTGACGCTCTGAACGGCATCTCTGGGGGGCCCAACCCTGTCTCTGCGCTCCTCCTTGAGGCAGTCCAGGTTTGCTGTGTGGGCTTGGGCTCCGGTTCCCTGAGCCCCCATTCTCCCTTGTGTCTTTCAGTGAGCTCGTCTGGCTAGGTGAGGCCCCCAGGCATTGACTGGCATAGGTGAGTGGTCCTGCTGGGGTCATGGGTCATCAGCAGCGTGGGGTCACCGAGGGTCCGCCTTTGAGACAGGAGGGTTTCCACGGGCAGCTGACCTGAATCCGCACCAGGGAGGGGTGGGTTGGTCCTCCAAGACGGCTGCTTTTCTGGGAATCAGACCCAAGGAGGATGCCTTCCCTGCAGTCCTGTGGGGATGACGGTGGTCCAGGCAGGAAAGGGTTCCTTCAGTTTCACGTAGGGGAGCTCCCAGCTGAGTCTCAGTGCATTGGTCTGGCCTTGAGGACTGACCAGGCCACATGAGGGGGGCCACAGGGGCTTCAGGATGCCATGGGGTCACACAGGATCTCTCCATCCCTGGAGAAAGGTGGGCATAGGGCCCATGGATTCAAGCTGCAGAGATTCAAGAATTGCACACAAATTATTGCCCTGAATGGGACCAACCCTGTTGTGCAATGTGCCATCCCAGGGCGCCTCTTTGAGCCTGAAGGGGGCGGTGCTGTTTCCCTAGGTTTGGGTCAAGGCTGAGCTCTGGCCGGTGCCTGGTGGTGCTATTGTCCAGTCATGGACTCGTTAGTTTTAGGCCAAAGGATCAGCTCTGTGTCTAAAGGATCCTCTGTGCTGGGGATCTCCCCTTTCCTGTGACTGGAAGTCATCACTTCCCCATTGGCAAGAGTCAGGAAGGGTGGCCTCCTGAGGTGGAAGGCCTGCTGTCAAGGGTCTTGTCTCTAGAATATGCTGCCCATGCTGCTTCTGAGCCCCAGGGTCACCTCCAGGGTGGCAGGTCTTGGGCCCAGGGAAAGGAGAAGTCACCATGTGTCCCCGATTAGCCAAGTGTGGCCCTGCTCTGTGTTTAGGAGGTGCGTGGGTCATGGATGAGGACCCACCAGAGAAAGCATGTGGCCCTGGGACCCCAGGTTGCAATTTCCAGTTCATGCTGCTAGGATAGGGCACCTAGGTGGGTGCCCACAGTGCACAGGGATAGGCTATGTGACTTGCAGGTCTGCAGCAGCATCTGGCACCCGGGCCAGCCTCCTTGGTTGGCTGTGAGCTGAATGGTAGCCCTGGCCTGTGCCCAGTACATCTGGCATGACCCTGGGGTCCTGTAGGGGAGCCAGCATGGGCAGTGGAGGTGCTCATGGGACCTGCAGCAGGACACAGCCGGGGCTTCTTGTCTGAGCCCAGTGACCTGCCTATCCTGTCTTTCCAGGGTTCGGTGGCTGAGAGAGCATTGGGTGCCCTGAGTCCATGATGGGCCAGTGTTCCACGTGCATCCCATCACATGGGTCCATGGAGAGTGAGCATCCCCTCAGCCGACACACCCCACCTTCTGCCCCCATGGAGGGGTGAGGTTGTGTTTGCACACCTGTCCTACTGTTTCCCCAGATATTGAGCCCAGAGGAAGACTTTGCAGTGGACCCAATGGCCCCAGGTCAGCGTCCGTCAGCCAGGTGCCCAGCCTCCGGTGCACTGAAGATCAGGCCCTTCCTGGCGCCTTGGTCTCCTGCATCGAGCTGTGGTGAGCACATCTGGATCCTGCTGGATGCATGTGCAGGGAGGGGGTTGCCCTGGGTTGGGTCGATGATGAGAACCTTATATTGTCTGAAGAGAGGTGATGACTTAAAAATCATGCTCAATAGGATTACGCTGAGGCCCAGTCTAGGTGAGGGTTTTGGAAGAGGATGCTGGGATCCCGAGGTCCCCAGGAGAGCCCCTATATTTTTGGCTGAAGACCTGGAGGACGTGAAGGGCATCTTGGGGGTGCCCGACCCTGTCTCTGTGCTCCTCCATGAGGCAGCCTGGGCTCCCTGTGCGGGCTTGGTGTCGGCCCTCCAGTTCCCCAGGTTGAGGCACAGTGGAAGCTCCTTTCTGAGCCCCATTCTCCCCTTGTGTCTTTCAGTGAGCTCTTCCACATGGGAGGGCCCCCTGGCATTCACTGGCATAGGTGAGTGGCTGGTATCATGGGTCTTGAGCCAGGCCACGTGGGGTCGTCAAGGGTCAGCCTTTGGGAAAGAAGGGTTTCCTCAGGGAGCCAACCTGAATCCCCACTGGGAAGAGATGGGTTCTCCAGGAGAGTGGCTTCCTGGGGAACAGGAACCAAGGAGGATGCCTTCCCTGAAGACCTGCAGGGGTGACGGTGGTCCAGGCAGGAAAGGGTTCCTTCAGTTCCACCTAGGGCAGCTCCCAGCTGAGTCTCGGTGCTTGCGTCTGGACTCGAGGACTGTCCTGGCCATATGAGGGGGGCCACAGGAGCTCCGGGGTACCATAGGGATCCCACAGGCGCTCTCTGTCCCTGGAGAAAGGTGGGTGATCGGGCCCATGGAGTTGAGCTGTTGAGATTCAAGGATCGCACCTGACACATGGCCCTGAATGGGACCCCCCTGTTGAGCAATGGGCCATCCCATGGGCCTCTTCAAGCCTGAAGGGAGTCGGTGCTGTTTCACTGGGTTTACGTCAAGGCTGAGCTCTGGCTGGCGCCTGGTGGTGCTGTAGTCCAGCCCTTGGACTCATGGGCTTTGGGCCAAGGGTGCAGCCCGCATCCCGCTGGAAGTCACCCCTTCCCTGTGGCTGGAAGTTATCCCTTCCCAGTGGGATAGTATCGGGAAGGGTGGCCTCCTGAAGTGGGAAGGCCTGCTGTTGAGGGTCTGGTCCTGGAAATTTGCTGCCCATGCTGCTTCTGAGCCATGGAGTCACCAGTGTGGTGGGGTCTTGGGCCCGAGGAAAGGAGAAGACACTGTTCTCCCTGATTAGTCCAGTGCGGCCAGGCTGTGTGTTTGTGAGGTGTGAGGGCATGGATAGAGACCCACCAGAGAAAGCATGTGGCCCTGGGACCCCAGGTTGTGATTTCCAATACATGCTTGGATACGGCACGTGGGTGGGTGCCCATCATGCACAGGGACTGGCTATGTGACTGCCGGCTCTGCAGCAGCATCAGGCATCCGGGCCAGCCTCCTTGGTTGACCATGAACTGGTTGGTGGCCCTGGCCTGCGCCCGGTAGTCCTGGGGTGACCCTGGTGTCGTGCAGGGGAGCTGGCATGTGTAGTGGAGGCACTTGTGTGGCCTTCAGTAGGATGCAGCCCTGGCTTGTAGCCTGAGCCCAGTGACCTGCCTGTCCTGTCGTTTCAGGGTTCAGTGGTGGAGAGAGCATCGGGTGCCCTGCGTCTGTGACGGGCCAGTATTCCACATGGATCTCATCACATGGTCCATGGAAGGCGAGCATCCCTGAGCTGGCACACCCCACCTTCTGTCCGCATGGAGGGGTGAGGTTGTGTTTGGATACCTGTCCTCTTCCTGTTCCTCGAGATGGTGACCCTGGATGAGTACTCGTGTTGGGCCCACTGTCCCCGGGCCAGTGTCCATCAGCCAGGTGCCTAGCCCCTGTTGCATTGAAGCTCTGGCCCTTCCTGTCACCTTGGTCTCTGCATTGAGCTTGGGTGAGCCCATCAGGGTGCCATTGGATGCCTAAGCAGGGAGGGGGTGCCCTGGATTGGGTCGATGATGAGAACCTCATATTGTTCTGAAGAGAAGTGATGACTTAAAAATTATGCTCAATAGGATTACGCTGAGGCTCAGCCTAGATGAGAATTTTGGAAGAGGATGCTGGGATCCCTAGGTCCCCAACAGGGCCACTGTAGTTTGGGCTGGAGACCTGGAGTCCTTGAAGGGCACCTGGAGGGGGCCCAAACCTGTCTCTGCGTTCCTCCGTGAAGCAGTCCAGGCTCTCTGTGCAAGCTTCATGTCAGTACTCCGATTCCCCTGGGCGGTGCATGTGAGGGGCTCATCCCTGAGCCCCTTTTCTCCCCTTGTGTCTTTCAGTGAACTCCTTCACCCAGGAGGACCCCTGGCCTCGAGCGGCATGGGTGAGTGGATCCTGCTGGGCTCATGGGCCATGGACCAGGCCACGTGGGGTCCCTGAGGGTCAGCCTTCAGGACAGGAGGGATCTGACCCAAGGAAGACACCTTCCCTGAAGCGCTGCAGGAGGGACATTGGTCCCACGCAGGGCAGCTCCCAGCTGAGACTGGGCGCTAGGGTCTGGCCTTGAGGACTGCCCAGGCCACATGAGGGTGGCCCCAGGCTGTGATTTTTGGTGCGTGCTTGGAAAGGGAGTCTGTGCACCGTCCCCGTGCAGGGGCCGGCTGTGCGTCTGCCAGGTCTACAGTGGCGCCTAGCTTCAGAGCAAGCCTCCTTGGTTTGCCTGAGCTGGTTGGTGATCCTGGCTCCTACCCAGGGGTCACAGTGCAGCCCAGGAAGTGCAGGGAAGCTGGCTTGGACAGTGGAGGTGCTCCAGGGGCCTGCGGTAGGGCACAGCCTGGGCATCTTGCTTGAGCCTAGTTACTCGGCTGTCCTGTCCTTCCAGCGTTCAGTGGTGGGTACAAGGGTTCCCCGGGTCCATAACTGTCCCTATTTCACATGGATCCCATCACATGAGTCCATGGAGGTAGAGCATGTGTAGCCAGCAGCCCCTCCCTGCTTTCCTGCATGGAATCTTAAGACCCTGTTTGGACACCTTTCCCCTGTCCCTCCAGATGGTGAGCACAGAGG